CTGGCAGCTAGTCCCGAAAGCAGTGGCACTTGTGGCAGGTGTCAGCAGAAGTGCCAGTATGAAGTGCCGATGTCAGCCGAAGTCAGTGGCAGCACTGGCAGCTAGTCCCGAAAGCAGTGGCACTTGAAGTGCCATTAGTAGGTGCGGTGTCACGATTTGCGTCTGCTGTCTCTCCATGATGTAACAGCCGTAATTGTGTGCTATCTCTTTAAGATACTCTAGTATCTCTAATGACTTCACATTTATGTGCCACTGCTTCTCTGTAGAGAGCGTGGGAGAAACGTGCCATGGACATGCTAGATGTCTAACTTTAGTAATGTTACGGGTAGTTTGGACTCTGCTCATTTTCATGTTTGATAATATAGCAGCCGTTCAACCGGGCTTTGTAAGGTTGGTGAAGAGTTCATTAAAGGACAACACTGTGGAATTCCCAGTACCAGTGTGGTTGTGAGTTTTCTGCCGCCTCTTTTCCTTCCCTAATACAACCCAAACGTTACAAATGGCGCCCGAACAATTTCTCTTGGACCTCAGAATGCAGTATCTTCTACCAGCTGATGTTTGAAACGTGGAAGAAATACTTTGCAGTATAGTGGACGTCCGCCACCGTACCTCGTGGGAACAAACTGAGCTAGGCCAGACGCAGACTTCTGAGTTTTTCAACGGCAACGAGCAGAGTCTTCAACGCCGTTTTTGGAATATAACACGGTCCCAGGTGTACCCCTTTACTGTGACAACTTGGAGCAACTGCACCTCCTAGGCGCGAGACAGATTTTGCTTTATAATTTCTGAATGTGCATGTGTGCACGGTGAAGCAAAGCTGAAAACCTCTCATCGGCTAAGCGCGAGGCAGGCCCTTTTTTTTCTCCAGTAAGAAATTACTGAGTCCAGTAATTACTTACAGGACTCAGCTCTGTACCGGATCAAGGCTGCAAGACTTCCATCGGAGAAGATACGAACTGAAGCCGTGAGTACTTGGAAAAAAAATAAAAGGAAAAGAGAGAACTGAATTTATCCTAGCACAGACTCGGGTTCACATAAGTGTGCATGATGGCTACTCATCCTGACTTGGCTGACCTGTGTGATGATTTGGACTTTAGGTTGCTCCCAAGCCAAAGTACCGTCAGGCACAAAACCCCTGACCTGGAACTTAAAGTACAAAGTCTGAAAGAAGAGGTGGACATGCTTCAACAATGTTTACATGATTCATTGGATCTCCAGAAAAATATTTTGGAACGTTGGACTCAACAAACTAAAGCTGTCCCTAAAGTCCCAGTTGCTCAGATTACTCAGCCTTTTCCTCAAGTGTCATCTACTCCATATGTGCCTAGTCTACACGCCAGAAAAAAAGAACAATGCGACTCAGCACCCGACCCCACTCAGACCACGAGGGCTTTGTCTCAGACCCATTCGGATTCACTGGAGTTAATTAATACTACCAGAGTGCTCGCTGCTGCGTTGTACCAAACAAAATTGGAGCCCCCTGTGTTCACTAATGATAGTGGTCCTCACCCAGAGGAATGGTTGCAGTCTGTCAATGCTTACAAGACTTCTTTGGACTTAACAGACACACAGGTTCTCAGAGAACTTCCACATTTTCTAGCTAAGGCACCAAGGAAATGGTTTAATGTTCTCGGCTCTCATGTATCTACGTGGGCTGAATTTTGTGAACTTTTCAGAACTGTATTCTTACCTACTGATAACCAGGAGAATATTATGAGAGGTATCTTAGACCAGGGGTGTCAAACTCCAAACCTCAAGGGCCTCTGTCCTGCAGTGTTTAGATGTGCCACAGGTAAAAAACAGTGGAATGAAATGGCTTAATTACCTCCTCCCTGTGTAGATGGGTTCTCCTGAGCCTTGCTAATGACCTAATTATTCTTTTCAGGTGTGGTGCAGCAGAGGCACATCTAAAAGTTGCAGGACAGCGGCCCTTGAGGACTGGAGTTTGACACCCCTGTCTTAGACAGTTTCCAGCACCCCGAAGAACCTCTCCCTACATTTGTGACCCATATGGTCAGTGAGTTCAAAAGAGCAGGAGCAGATTAACCTAATCTGTAAACATGCAGTAGAGAAGTATAGAGTGGCACTGTATGGAACACCTGTCAGGTCAGTAATGGATTTGGTGCTGCGCGCCCATGAGCTCCATTCCGTTCTCGGCACCAGCCTGTCACAGCCATCAAGAGTTCAGCTGAAAAATAAAACTGATGGTGGTCCCTACTGTTTTAGATGTTCCATGCCTGGTGTTACATCCCGCACATGCCCAAACTGTTCCACTGAGTGTCATGGAACACAGACTGCAGAACAAGAAAGCACTAACAGGATGAGATAAACACAACCAGTGAGTAGAAAGCATGTGATGCTGGACTTGAACGGCAAAGATGTAGTTGTGGCTTTTGCTAGCCATTCACTGCATTAGTCAGAAAAGCCCTATTTGACTCCAGAAAAAGAATGTCTGGCTGTTATCTGGGCATTGGAACATTTCCGTCCTTATGTCGAAGGTTTATATGTGACTATTTACACTGACCACAGCAGCCTCAAGTGGTTGATGTCTCGACCAAATCCCTCTGGTAGGCTTGCAAGGTGGTCTCTTCGCCTTCAGGACTTTGACTTCAGCATCATCCACAAACCTGGAGAACATAATAAGGTGCCTGATGCCCTTTCACGTAATCCCCTCCCAGACGTGGACACACCCATGGATCTTCTTCCTCCCTATGCCGTGATTGGAAGCATGGATCTTCGTGCTCTGCCCTCTGTAATTGTGTCGGACCGTCCTCATGTTCGTCAGTTGCAACTAGAGGACTCAGTCACTGCCAACTTACTCTGCCAACTCGAAAACGACCAACAGAGTGAGGAGGACAACCAAGATCTGCAAAAGTTCATTGTACAAGATGGACTCTCATATTTCATTGATCCAAAAACAAAGTGTGGTCTTCACCCACTCAAGCAGATTAAACTTTTTGCTCCGACTACACTCCGTAGTTATCTGCTCAAGTATTATCATAACCATCTTACACCCGGACATCTGGGCGTTGCAAAAACTCTGGCATGCTTGCGTCTCAGATTCTTCTGGCCAAACATAAACTCTGATGTAAAGAAATATGTGGTGTCATGTCATTCATGCCATGTCACTAAACCAACTCCCCAATCCAACCACGGGTGTGGACTACATCAGCCCACTACCCCGCACTCAAATGGGAAATGCATATATCCTTATTTTTGTGGACTATTTCTCAAAATGGATTGAAGTGAGTGCTGTGAGGGAAGCAACTGCTCGAGTTGCTTCTAATAAGTTCATCACCGACATATTCGCCCGACATGGTTCCCCAAAATACCTTATTTCAGACAGGGGAACACCTTTCATCAGTGAACTGTTTGAACATGTTGTGTCAACACTTGGAACTGAGCACAGAATGACAACTGCCTACCATCCTCAAACTAATGCAACTGAACGTGTAAATCGCACGTTAAAAACAGCCATTCGAGCATATATTGAGGACAAACACACTTCTTGGGACAAATATCTTCCCCAGATTTGTTTCGCGCTGCGTACTGCACCTCATGAGAGTACAAGTCTAAGCCCCGCAATGATGCTCTACGGACGAGAGTTAGACACTCCCTTGGACCTCATCACTCAGCCGTCGTGGGAAGGGATGGACGACCCTGAGACTAATTACCCAGATCACCTGAGAGCCTCGATTCAAGATGCTCATGACCATGCTCGTACAGTTCTCACAGAAAGTCATAGAAGGCGAAAGCATTACTATGATCTAAGACGACGCCCAGTCTCTTTTAAAGTCGGAGACCTGGTCAGAGCAAAATCACACCCAAAGTCGGATGCATCATCTAACTTTTCAGCAAAATTGGCACCTCTCTACATGGGTCCCTACCGTGTCTACAAAAAGATGTCCGATGTGAACTATTGTCTAACCAAAGCGGACACTGGAGAGAAAGCTGGAGTTTTTCATGTTGCAAACCTTCAACCGTTCTACACCTGGGCTACAGCTTCATCTAACAAACACGCAAAGCAAACAGCTTCGGCAGATTTGGTTTCCATTTGTTTGCCCCCCGCTCTTTTGGACCCAGAGCCTGACTATGATGTCAACGGTGATATCGTCTCTGATGACGTCCCGGTCGAAACTGATTTGGAATGCGCAGATCCTGTTCCAGCCTTTTTGGACCACGACCCTGTCCAAGACACCAACACTGCTTTGGAGAAGGCTCTTAACAGTTTGCCCCCTGCGGACAATGGGTGTGCTGCTGGTGTCTCTTACAATTTTAGACCGAGACGTGTTCCGAGGGTCACCACTGACTGGTCAGTCAATAGGTGGACCAACCCTTTTCATACCTCCAGGTTTGACCTGAAGTGACCTTGTTTGAACTTTGTTTTGCTAGTTTCAGTAGTGTTCTGTGACTGTCACTTACGTTTTGCTGAGGTCACGTTTAACACATGTTATGCCATGGGTTCTAGCATTTTCGTAAAAAAAAAAAGAAAAACCAATTCCACTTTTGTAATCGTCCTGACTGCCTTATTTTTTTTTCTGTTTTTATAGTACTCGTCAAAGTAGATATTTCGGTTGCTGAAAATGTCATGTGGTGGGGTTGAAGTGGTGAGGAGAGACGCCGAGACCCAGGTTATGGTGATGATGATGTTTAATGATGAAAATAAAGCACACAGTCCAAGGCAGGCAGCACGGCAGGAACAAGCACGCAGCTAATAGCCGGTAGCAACTGACTCACAGGACTATACGGGAGCTAGCACTAACCAGGACTTATCAGTACAACTGGCGAGTAGACAAACGACAATAGACAAACACAAACCAGGACTTTACAGTTCTACTGGCGTGACGAACTACGACAAGGACCCGACGAGGAACACAGACAACAGGTGGGTTTAAATACACACGGGGTAATTAAGGGAACGAGACACACCTGGGGAGCAATCAACGGGGAGGACAGGACAGAGACTCACAGGAACACAGGACTGAACACAGAGAAACTCAAAAATAAACACACAGAAACACGGAACCTAACAGAAAATACTGTCATGTAGGTCAGCTTTCAATATTGTGCTGTATATTCCCGGTTTACTTTTAATGACTTATCCATGTATGGCGGTTTGTTAAGTATTGACTGTGCCTTTGCTGTGTTCGGCTGAGGGCAGCCTAATTCTGACCGGGGGGAATATGTAACAGCTGTAATTGTGTACTATCTCTTTAAGATACTCCAGTATCTCTAATGACGTCACGTGTTTGCGCCGCTGCTTCTCTGTAGAGAGCGTGAGAGAAACGTGCTATAGTTGCCACATGGACATGTTAGCTCTCTAACTTTAGTAACGTTACGGGTAGTTTGGACTCTGCTCATCTTCATGTTTGATAATATAGCAGCCGTTCAACCGGGCTTTGTAAGGTTGGTGAAGAGTTCATTAAAGGACAACACTGTGGAATTCCCAGTATCGGTGTGGTTGTGAATTTTCTGCCGCCTCTTCTCCTTCCCTAATACAACCCGAACGTTACAACAACAAAATGAGAGAAAAAAGAGCAGCTGTAACATTAGCCATAGTGAGAGAAATAGTAATAGTATGGTTAAAATAAACACATTTTAAGGAAATATGTTTTGGAATTAACTGGTGATCAGTG